CATTTTTGGCTATTACCAAGAGGTTTGGACCACATTTATCCTCCTGCTAGAACCATGTATAAAGGCTGAAAAACCTTAAAAACCTTAAAAAACTGCTAGTAAATGGGAAAATGGAGACTAATCCCTGAAAAGACAAACATAAGGTGCTCTACATTCAACCAGGCTTCTTCACTGGGGACATTAGCCAAACCCCAGCCTTAGGGACATAAGAGTGCTAAGCCTGGCTGGACTGGAAAAAGATTTAACTTCAGGGCAGCTAAGTCCCAAAAAGAAAGGACAGAACTATGAGCTAAAAAAATCTGCATGCAATGTTTTCTCCAAGGCATTTGCCAGGTTCTATGTTGTACAAAAGCAGGATTAGGCTCCAAGAAGTCAATTTTAAAAAAATACTCTGAAAAGCACAGCAACAGAGCAGAGATGTCTATGAACACATAATAGTCTAAGAAAGAGGTGAAGGTTCCAGGCTGGCCAAGGTTCTGCTAAGTATCTGCTGCACTTTAACCTGAGATTCCAAGTAGCTACATTTATTTCAAATAGGTGTTAATGAGACATCCTAAGGTGAGAACAGAGAGAATAGCAAAAGGGAGGGTAAAGGAACACATGAAAACCTTTATAGCAGCCAGGGGAACAAAAAAAGACATCAGTTACAAAAAGCAGCACAGGGAAACTACTTATTGTCTAACAGTAAAAAATGAAAGTCAGAAGACACTAATACATACATACTGAAAAATAACTAGTGGCAAAATAATCTTCAAATGTAAAGGCAAAATGGAGATATTGAAAAACAAATAAAAGATAAGTAGAATCAATGTAAGAGATTCAGCAAATAAAAGCAAGATGAAAGCATGGGATGCAAAAACAGGCAAGGATACTCCCAACTGAAAAATAGTAAGCCGCTGTGGGGTGAGTAACGATGTAAGAAGTTAAATCGTAACAATAAATAAAGAGCAGGAAAGGGGAGACAGAAATCTTAATAGGCATACTGTATTGGACTGGGAGATCAAATGGTAGACGTGCACATATCAAGAATATAAAACCTAATCTCTAGGGCAACTACAAAAGAAGAGACAACTTTATAACCAAGACACTAACAGAAAAGGGAAAAAAAATACCTTGGTTATTTTATTTTTTAAAGCCAGGTATGGAGGTGCACACTTGTGATCCCAGAACTTGAGAGAAGGAAAATTAGGAATTCAAGTCCAGCCTGGGCTACAAGACACCTTGTCTCAAAAACAAAACAGAACAAAAACTACCAGAAAAAGAGAAAGACACTGGGCCTGGTGGCACACACCTTTAATTCCAGCTCTTGGGAGGCAGAGGCAGGCATATCTCTCTGAGTTCAAGGCCAGCCTGGTTTACTTAGTGAGTTCCAGGACAGCTGGGGCTACAGAGAGACCATGTCTCGAAAGAAAGAAAGAAAGAAAGAAAGAAAGAAAGAAAGAAAGAAAGAAAGAAAGAAAGAAAGAAAGAAAGAAAGAAAGAAAGAAAGAAAGAAAGAAAGAAAGAAAGAAAGAAAGAAAGAAAGAAAGAAAGAATGAACAGATGTGACAAATGTAAGTAGCATGATAATGAACTTGAATATATTACAGAGCAAAGAGCAAGATGACCAAAAGCAATTATATTAAAGTCAATATAATGATGAGATATAAATACTTCAATTAGAAAATGATCAAATTAGGTATTCAAAAAGAAAAAGAATGTCTATGTTTACAAATGAAAAACGTAACTATAATGACAATAGTAAAAACACAGGAAAGCATATGTCAGGTAAACCTTACACAGAAGAAAGGTATTGATGTCACAAATAAGTCCAACACAGAAAGATTCACTGCTCTAGTCGAATCATACAGGGGACAAAATCAACACACATTTTACATAAAACAAAAAATAAAATGCAGACAACTCTTCTCTAGCTGTTTCATAAAACATACTCCTAATTCCAAAACCAGAAAAGACATTAATGGATTGGAAAAGTAATGAACAAGGGTACAAAAAAATCTGCAAAATACTAGTAAACCAAATTCATTTTATATAAAAAAAGAGCACAGCATGAACAAGCAGCATTTATTTCAATAACACAAGCAAGGAACATACAGTCAATTCACCCAAAGCCTACAGAAAGTAAAAATCGCAAAATGATGAATATTTTCTACCTGAGTTCAGGAACTTCTCAACACAACTTTTAGCAGTATAGTAAAGCAATATTAAACAAGGATAAAAACATTAGAAAAGAAATACAATGGATTTCATATGCAATTAATGCTCATGTACACAGGAAACCCAATGTATAAATAAGTAAAACTATAAAGTGAATTTAGCAAGATTGCTGAGGTCAATATACTTTATTTTTCTATCTATTAATAGCCAAAAGCAATAAAGAAAAAAATTAATGATACTAATCATTAATCCTATTACTTTACAAAATCTGAGCCACGTATGGTGGTACATGCTTATAACCCTAGCACTGACAAGATTGAGGCAGGAGAATCATGAGTATTTTAGCCAGCAATATATAGTGACACCCTGTCTCAAAAACAATACAACACAACACAGAACAAAAACAAAAAATAAAAAAACTAATAAATACAAATAAACCTCAAAGAGCTTAAAACCTCTGAAGTATACATCAGTGCCATTTCTGAAAAATTATACAGCAATGTCTATTAAGGCTAAATACACATGCATTCCACTTGTATAAACACTTAAATTAGTGCCTAAGTCTACCAACAGACTTGGACAAGAACATTCAGAGCAGCTTTATCCAAAACCAGCTGAACACTGGTAACAACCCTGAAATGAACACATTAAACTGCAGTCTAATCATAAAATCAAACATAACCCAGGCGTGGTGGCTCATGCCTTCAATCCGAGCACTTGGGAGGTAGAGGCAGACAGATCTCTGTGAGATGGAGGTCAGCCTGGTCTACATAGTGAGCTTCAGGCCAGCTGGGGCAACAGGGAGACCCTGTCCCCCCCCCCCCCCCAAAATACTATATACCAAAAATAAATAAAAACAAAAAATACATCAGCATAGAAGAACCTTGCAGATAATGAGAAAAGAATAAGCAGTACATCGGTCAGTGGGAAGCACAAGGAAGGAAAACCATTAGAAATGTAAGAGTTAATTTTACAATTGCTTCAAGGTATGATGGAGCCTTACTGCTATGCTAAAACTCCCTCAGCCTTATTTGGTCATACCTGTTTGTACAAATTATTAAACTTTACACTAAAAACCTGTATACTCTTGGCAGTATACTAAAATTTGAAACAAAACTTTAAAAACATGAACAGCTCTGGAAAAATTACCTAGCTATTAAATAGTCCACTTTCAATTTCAGCACCTTCTGCAAAATACTGGAATCCTGGATGAGATAGCGCAGCGCTCGTAACCCTGCTGCTCTCACTTCTTTTGCTTCATTTAATAAAGCTAAGCGCAAACTGCATGAAAACAAACAAAAAGTTGTTGCATGAGCTTCAAAGACACATAAAATTACAGTTTAGGTTACCCAGCCCACAGCAGAAATACTTGGGATGAACTATTTCCAATTCCAGGTATTTCTGGATTTAGCAATACTTCCATAGCCCACACTAAGTTGATTATCCCTCATCTGAAAATCAAGAACCCCAAACTTTTGTTACACTTGAGATGATACTAATGAAGCCTCAGAATTCCCTACTTAGAGATGTTCAACATATATCAGTCTTCCTCAGCTGATTCATTCCGAACTCCTAGTTATGTATGATTAATTCTATCCAGAGAAACACTCCAAAGTAAAGAATTTCACTTAGTGGTGATATTTTCATTCTATGCTTCCTCTGTTCAAACTTACCCATCAAGTCAATGCTGTTGAGTTTTATTCATGTTCCATTATGTTTTATACAAAGAAATGGGAAACTTAATATGCTCTTTTCAAACTATACCTTATGTTTCTACAATGCATTGTCATCGGCCTCTATCCTTCCATGTCTCCTCCTAAAGGATGATTGGCTTAAATAATAAAATATGTTTAACAGTAGCATACACAGACCACTGTATTAATTTTAACTCCCTAGGACATCAGAAAGTAGTAATGAAACTATCATACTATACCTCTGTCAGTATACAAGGTTACAATAACTACATTTTTTCTTAGGTCAGACTGAGAATTATTGGTTCTTATGTATCCCGGGAAGACAGAAAAATTCAATCTGCGAATTTCAGATTTAATTTCAACCTTTAAGGTATAGAAGTTTGGATATTTCTGAAAATTAGCTTTCATTCTTGGTATTTGGTAATCACAAAGTATCAACTAAGGCTCACAAGGCAACAAAATCATTGAAGATCTTGAATCTTTCTAATGTCCAACCAACAGTTTCTAAAGAATCAAACATGAGGTGCTGTGTTACATATCTATAATTTACAATTATTACAATGGAATTACTAAAACAAAGGATGGAGGAAAGGACAAAACTGTACTTACCAAATTATAATATCTTCATAGTTAAAGCCCAGTTTTTCTTCACTATGGCCAATATCACAAAGGAGCTGTTAAAAACAAAATCCCCCAAACCAGCATATATATAAGTTTAAATTTGTGCATTTATAAGCATGAGCTTTAGGCTCAAAAATATGATATTTTTCTTTAATAAATTTCTGAAAAGATCTACAATTTTACTATAAAATATGCTAATTTATTTCTATCATTTTACCTTCCTTTTTTTTTTTTTTTTTGGTTTTTTTGAGACAGGGTCTCCCTGCAGCCCCAGCTGTCCTGGAACTCACTATGTAGACCAGGCTGGC